GTTAGTTAGTTAGTTAGTTAGTTAGTTAGTTAGTTAGTTAGTTAGTTAGTTAGTTAGTTAGTTAGTTAGTTAGTTTGTTTGTTTGTTTGTTTGTTTTTGTTAACATTTAAAAACAAGGTTTAGATAGGAATTCATTGTCTGGTTTCTAAATATGATTTTATAGTTGAAAAACTATTGCTGTTCAATAATAATCACTTTATCAAAGCGCTACATTTATGGTTGTATTCTTTCAGAAGGGATAAGTTTGATTTTAGTTGTATTGAAGTTAAAAGTTGTAGCAGTGGAGGGACAGGCGGACAGAGACTTTCAAAGTTGAGCGGGTTTAGTTTTTTCCTGCAGAAGAAGAGAAGAGTGGAGTCCGAGCAAACAGCGGCGTCTCTTCCCTCTTCCCCGGATCCTTCAAAACTCCCTCCCGAACCTCTCCCCTTCCACCCTATCCACCCCCTGAACATACCCCAGAGCACGGTTCGGGTAAGACTTCCTGAAATGTATCTTTTTAAATGTTTTTTTTTTCTCCCTCTCCTGCTCAGAATCAAGGACGGAGATAACTCAGTACACCGTAGGCCGCGGGATACGACTATTTCCTGGAACGGACGATGCTAATGCTAGCGCACCGGATAGAAAATTACTGATTCAACCATATGACTGCCCGTGTGTTAGTCGCTGGCCGCTGTGCTTTAAGTATATTTTAAAGCTAGAGCGATTTGACCGATTCAGACGGTCTACCCTTTTCTGTAGCGAGTAGTAACGAATTTAGAAAGTTATGACGGAAGCATTTCGGTGCTAATTTAGCTTCCCAAATCATGTTTGCGTGATTCACAAATTAGGGTGTGTTTACGTTATCCAGTTCGCCCTGTATTTTGCTGTCCACTCACTTTGTGTATCCAGCTGCTGTGCAGTGGCAAAGGAGTGCGAGTAGCGTGCGTAAAGGTCCTAAAAGGAAACGTGGAAGTTGTGTCGCCACGGCTGCACAGTGTCAGGAAGTAGACGTGGCCTTGGGAACACAGTGGGTCATTGTGTCAGCGAGAATTGAGTGGACTCGGGCCAGTTTAGCGTGAACTGCTGAGCTGAAGCGCCTCATTCTTTCTAATGTTGTTAAAGCACAGATCTAGAGAGCTCGTCTGTAAAATGTGAACTGTCTGCATCACTTCATTGATCTGCTGCAACTGCAGTTTTATTAAGTAAACAAAAGCGTCACTGCTTTTACAGTAACAGTACTGTAGTCCCCAACGTTTTTTTGTTTGTTTTCCCCTGCTTTCTCTTGCAGACATCTCAGCCAGAAACCAAAAAAGCTCCTCTTGTTGGCCAGTGTGTGGACTGAACAGCAACAAACATGGAATCAAGTCTGGTTGAAGGAGGACTTAATGTCACCTTAACCATCAGGTTACTCATGCATGGGAAGGTGAGCAGAACTGCAGTCAGTGCACAACATTGTTTTCAACTTCAACTCAAACTTTTATGTTAAAGGTTATTTTTAAGAAAAACAATAGACATTTTTTATAGCTAATAATGCTTAAAGTTGGTAATTTGCAATGCATTGTGGTCTGCTTATACTCACATCTACTTCCACTTTGTTTGAATACGTTTAGTCTAAACCGTGCATTCATGTTTCAGCATCATTTCACAGTGAGGACATTTTGTTTTCCCAGCATAAAATAAATTACATGTATAAATACGTCTGTGTATAATAGTCAATAAAACAAGTGTAAAGAACCAAAACATTAGACTTGAATGCTGACTGAATACTAGAAAGAGCTAAGAACCTATCTGAGCACGTGGTGCTTCGTTTCACACATGTGCATTAGTAATTGTGAAAAGACCAATTTCAGATTCAGCATTTCTTACAACACAGAACATGATGTATTTCAAAACAAGGTGTTTATCCAGCCAAGAATATCAAAATTTTTAATGCTTACTTGTCACAAGGTTGGAGTTGTTTGTAAGATTATATTTTAAAGTGAATATGCGAGCAGCCACTTAAACCCTCACGTTGTGCGTACGTCACACTCGTGCAGCTAAATGGTGCTTTTATAGGCGTCACCAGAAGAACTTGCCACCGTGGCGCAGGACGTATAACAATGTAGCTAAAAGCATGGAGGAATTTCTATTTGAAATCCACTTTATACGTAATTGCATGATTTATCTAGAGAAGTTCATTGTATATAAGAGAAGTATGGACGTTTCATTGGGCTACATCCATACCAGATATCAGGGTGCAAACCCAGTTCAAATTCAGATTGTTTACTAAATGAATTTGCTTTGGATTTGCCTCAAATAAAAGAAAATCTCAGTCCATGTCTTGTAGATGTGTTCTGTGATCAGCTCACAGTAGTGACAGAGGTTATTTAAACAGCGTAGGAGCTAATTTTATAGATTTATGATGTGTTAATGCTGTTGAGATGTAGTTTGACATCACCCACAATACATGCGAATCTTAGGGAAATGACAGTACGTTATTTCCCTAATTTCTTGAAAACGTGAGCGTCCTTTAGGAAATTTACCAGTAACAACTGGTAACAGGCTAACCTGATACAAACGCACAGACACTGTAGGGTTGAAGCTCTTGTAAATCTTGTTGTGTGGTTCTTGACAACTATAAAGATCACCTTTGTCTGGATAACGTTGTTGTTTTTTTGTGTGTACATGGTAAAAGTTATTCTCCTTGTCTCAGATTTTCTCAGCTTACAGTCACACAAAAACTACGTATTGCAGTATTGATGCATCAGTGTGGTATGGAGATTTTGTCCTCCAACATCAACTGAAGGAACACTATAAATGGCATTCTGGCTTTGTAGGAACAGACTTTTATATAAGAGTCGTATATAAAACTGAGCTACCTTAAAATGGTTTCTTCTCAGATCCTGATGCTTAATATTTGGTTCTGAAGCTTTCTGGTCTGCATCCTTCATCGTTGGAACATTGTTTTGCTTCCTCAGTGCTGTTTTTTTGCAACCTCATGGAAAGCAGTTTGCAACTCGCTGCCTTAACTGTAATCCTTCTGATCGTACTGTCAGAGCCAGCAGCTGAAAAGCTGCAGAGATTCACCCACTCCGGTAAGGAATCTCTTGGGCACCGAAGGAGTACAGAGGCCTATCTGCCCTTTCCCTCGTGCCGTGGGAAGAAGGAACAGGTGGGCCTGACAGAAGGGCCGCGAGGACTCCTACACAAGCTGTCAGGCTTTACTCTCGATTTGGGAGAGTCAGAGCAAACGTGAGGCCTCTCTTATGGAATAAAATTAACTTAATCTCTTCCGCTTGTTGTTTCTTGTAGCTTCCTTTTTCACGTTTTTCCTCTTCTGCGCCTGATCTCTGCTTTCAGCGCACATGCAGAACTTGAATGTCACTTATCAAAAATCAATGGCATGATTTGTCTGTTTGAAATGCACTAAAAAGCCCTGAAATCTTTTTTATATACATCACATTTCTCTTTGGAAAGTCAGAAAAAGCAGGAGCTGTAAAGTTTTCTTTCTGAATTGCACTGAAAGAAAGTTGGAACAAAACGTACCGTTTGATGTTGCTCAGAATTGTTGAAGCTGAGACAGACCCATTCAGCTCGGACTGCAGATCAGAAGATAGGAGTGAAACTGGTTTCAACACCAGACTTGATTCAAATCATGATTTTAAAATCAGACTTTCTGTCACTCGATCGTTGCAATATGTGAGGAACGTGACGTTGTAGGGAAACTGAAAAGTGTCTTTTTATTAACGTGGTTTTTTTGGTTCTTTTCTGCAGGAGGTTGGAAGCATAATCGGCAAGGTGAGTGTTTCATTTATTTTTCTTCCTACTGAAATGATGCTATCTGCACCACATTCCTCTGTATGTTTGGTAAATCTGTCATATCTGTCTCTACAGAAAGGAGAGTCGGTGAAAAAGATGAGAGAAGAGGTACAAACATTTCTTTTTCCAACATGTTGGCAAAACAAGAAGAAACCTGTTCCTAAATATTACTCTGTTGACTCTAGTATTATGAGATCGTTTTTATATTGTTTAAATTCCTGGCTGTGCAGAGTGGTGCTCGCATCAATATCTCAGAGGGGAACTGTCCAGAGAGGATCATAACCCTGGCGGGACCCACCACCTCCATTTTTAAAGCCTTCTCCATGATCATTGAGAAACTGGAGGAGGTTAGAAAAGCCTCTCTGCATCTTTGTCAACATGAAGCAGCTGAAGTCTAGATTTTTTTCCAATCCAGTTGATGTTCCGCTTTACCTGCAGGACATCAGCAACTCAATGACTAACAGCACGGCCACCAGCAAACCGCCAGTCACCATGCGTCTCGTTGTGCCTGCCAGCCAGTGCGGCTCGCTCATTGGCAAAGGTGGCTGTAAGATCAAAGAAATCAGAGAGGTTCGTCATCCGTTTATGTTCATGCGAAGCTTTTAATGTAAAGTGTGGCTTAATTGATGTGTGTTGTCTTTCTGTAGTCAGCAGGAGCTCAGGTACAAGTAGCAGGGGACATGCTGCCCAACTCAACAGAGCGTGCCATCACCATTGCAGGGACCCCTCAGTCCATTATTGAGTGTGTCAAGCAGATCTGTGTCGTCATGCTGGAGGTACGAACAGTGAATATTGTGTTGTTATAAGGAGTGCAAATCAAGGCATTTTTTTTTTCATTGATTCATAATTAGCTTCTGATCCATTTTTGTCAGCCGTGCTACTTACTGCTGTAAAACAGCCAGAATATGGCACCTGTCGTGATGTACAGGCCTGGACATTAAAAGCACCTGATTGCATTTTATGATGTTAAACATAAAGTACGTTACAGTGACATAATAAAGGAAAGTAAAGAACGTTGGACCACAGACTGAAATGAATGATGTGTCAGTTCATATTTTAAACAGAACAGTCAAAGGCAACTCTAAAGAAAAACCTTGATTTAAAAGAACTCAGGGTTTCTGGATTCTTACAGTTTTCTGGGACTTTGTTCCAGATTAGTGGAGCATAAAACCTGAATGCTGCCTTTCTATGTTTGGGTCTGGTTCTGAAGCAGAGTGGACTTGAACCAGAAGACCTGAATGGTCTGGAAGGTTGATACAGTGACAGCAAATCTTTGGTTCTAAGCTAGGGCTATTCAACTAAATTGTTCCAGGGGCCACAGTTACTGCGGGTCAACAGCTCAGGGGCCGAACATCCAGCAGTTAAAGTTGTAGAGGTCACCCCGAGTGAAATAAACATGCAAAACTGTCCTTGACTTAAGGTCTCTGACAGGCCTCTTTAAAGAGACAAAACTCTGTTCACACAAACACACAAAGTGACTCAACTCAGTGAATGATCCTTCAATAAATGTGACCATTTATTTACACAAACAAAATCACAAATGTACACTTATTTGTGAGCTTAATTTTCTATAAAAAGTTGGAACAACAAACTTTAGGCTTAGATCTTAATAAACCAGTTGTTTGCAGGCACATACAACTTAGATTTTGGCAGGGCATAAGGTTTAAGAGAAAGAAGGAGGAAGAGTAGAAGGATTAGTTCTTAACTAATCTTTAAAGAATGTGGATTTTGACCAGAGGGCAAGCATCTCAACGAATTCAGCCAGAAACCAGGTACGCTTAGTGATGGACAGCCATTACCTTGACCGAGAACAGAGTCAGCCACCACGGTTCAAGTCGAAGGGAAGATCGTCCAGTTGGTAAAGAACTCTCAGAACCTCACCTAGTCGGACACTTCCAGGCTCACGTTACTTTTCAGTGTCTTCCGCCCTGCTTCACAAGCGAAGATCGGAGATGAGGCTCTTCTGTACCCGTTTCAAAAATAAAATACTTCCGCCACGGAAGTTTCAAAATAAGTTGCTCTGTGTGGCTTTGGTAAGCTCAAGATAATGGACGTGACCGGGTGGTGGTGTACGTCCAGGCTGAGGTTTCCCTTTGACTCCATGGGCCAAACCTGGCAGCCATGCGCTGGTTCTCCTCAGAGAAAAACAACTGCTTCCTCGTCGAAGTACAGGAGTCTTCACACTCTGAGTTGTTAGTTAGTCTCAAGACGTTAGTCAAAAGATAAGAAATGTTAGTGGGATACTGCCAGGTGTTGTTTTGTCTTAACAAAAATTGTTGTCTTCTACACAATTTGTACAGCCTGTTCTCTGGCGAGACACATAAAGACGCTTAAAAGATGAGTTACTGAAAACTTAAAAATTCTTTGTTTCATCTAAAGGCACAGTGTGTAGGATTTTGTCAATTCTTTTAGCCAAAATTGAGATAATCACTAATGACAATAATAAAAAAAAAACATGTCTAATCATTGCAGACAAAGACATTGTTTTATTATTTTTACCTTATAAAAAGCTGTTTATATCTCCATGGTCGCGGGTCGCCACTACAGGCAGCCACCATCTTGCACCGCCATCTTGTCTACGAAGGCTCATGAAGGACAAACTGCGGTGGCGCCGTCAAAAACGGTTTTAGTTGTAATGCTATACATGTAATATTTGTTGTCTGTCATTGTAGCTGGGATAATTTTACTTATTAAAGCTCATAATCTTACCACTTGAAACATCACTAGCCCTGAAGCTGCTGGTAGACATCGCGGTTGGAATTATCAAAGGTTTTTGACACCTGAGAGACACCGTAGCAACTCCTTTGTGTTTGGAACCGGGGGAGGTGGGGGGAGGACCAGGGAGGATGATTCAACCACTAGATGTCGCTGAAAACAACAAATCGTACACACTGTGCCTTTAAGAACATTCATTATAATGATTCAGACAAAATTCACATAAATGCTTCATAATAAAGCTTAACCATAATGCTGAGTTTAGCTAAGTAAAATATCTCAACAGAAGAATCTATAATCAATCACTGTGCTTTGACAGTTACATTTCTAGCAATGATTTGCATTAAAACAAAAGAACACTGAAATAACATTTCTGTGGTTTTTGTTTTTATAAGATTATTCTGTTTATTATCTGATTAAGAAGAAGAAAATGTCTCTTTAAAGTTTAAGAAGACCTGTTATGGTTTTAATTGAAACTCTGTCTCTTTAAAGAGGTCTTCTGAGACCAAGGTCAAAGACAGTTTTACATGTTTATTTCACTCTGCGTGACCTCTACAAAGTCACTACGAAAATAAACCAAGTAATACAAGATCTGTTACCTTTTGAAATAGTTTATTTTGCTGCATTTAACCATGAATACAACATACAGAACCCGTGGGCTGCCAGTTGAATAGCCCTGTTCTAAGCTATTCAGTGATTTCTAAAGTAACAGATGTATTTTAAAGTCTATTCTCTGTGAAGAAACTCAACTAACAATATTATATACTGACGAGTTCTGCTCAAATTTTTCACAAGTAATACCTAGTTCACACAACAAGGTAATTGTGCCAAGTTTTGCCCTTCCGACAATCTTAAAGACACCCCGATTATTGTGACAGCAAGTAGAGGATATTGGACATGTTGAATTGTCTTGGCTTGATTTCCCAGTGTGTGTGGTGTTTCCTGAGGACAAACGAGCACACATTCTGTTGAATGTGACTTGTAGCCAATCAGCAAGGAAACACAGAGGGGAATCCAAAATACAGAAGACCAAACAACTGCCATGGTGCACCAGAAAGTCTGGTGTACGTCGGATACATCTTTTTGTTTTGATTTTCCTCTGTTAAAAATAGTCTACAATGTATCGCTGTTGCTTCTTCCTCATTGATCATGTTTGCTCTGAACTCACGTTTGATCTTATGAAGTCTCGTGAGATTTCCCATCTGACATCTGAATGTTCGTAAATGAAATCTATTTGAAATCTATGTGGTGTGTTGTCAGCGTGTGGCTGTACACCACACCTGTTATATCTATGATTTTTATTATAAT